GGCTCACCGCACCCTCCGCCTCCTGGGTTCAGGCAATTCTCCTGCCTCAGCCTCCTGAGTAGCTGGGATTACAGGCATGCACTACCATGCCCAGCTAATTTTTTGTAGTTTTAGTAGAGGCGGGGTTTCACCATGTTGACCAGGATGGTCTCGATCTCTTGACCTCGTGATCCACCCGCCTCGGCCTCCCAAAGTGCTGGGATTACAGGCTTGAGCCACCGCGCCCGGCCACAAATTTTCATTTTAAATCATTGCCGTATGGCAATATGTGGGGTGTATTTTAACAGGGCTCTTTTAAAAGAGCCTCCTTTTGATTCTCTCAGGGACAAAGTGGCCTTCATCACAGGTGGCGGCTCTGGGATCGGGTTCCGGATTGCTGAGATTTTCATGCGGTGAGGCTGCTCTCTGTCCCTTCCCTGCTCCCCGCGTCTTCCTGCCTGGGCCCTGCTGGATGCCAGACCCCTGGGAAGATGCTGGTGGGAGGTAGATGTCCCCTACTCACCCACCCGACAGGGTCCAGGTGCCTGCCAGAGGGGCTGGGGAGGGGTCGAGGATTGCCCTGGGGGGAGTCAGGACTTCCAGGGCTCCTAGAGGTCAGTGGAGATTGTGTGGCTCTGGTCTGGGGTCTGCTGGGACCTTGAGAATTGGGGCTGTGTCAGGCCCCAGTGCTGTTACCTTATAGAGATTCCTCTTGGGATACAAGTTCTGTGGCCTCAGGCTGGAGTCAGCACCTCATCCCACCTGACAGCGGCTAGAGTTAGGATAAGGAGGGGGAAAAGGACCCTTTCTCAGGTCCCCTGAGGCCCTTCCTTTCCATACCAGAAAGGTGAGTCCCACAGGAAGAGATTTGGCCTTTCCACTGGTGGCTCTGTGCTCGGGGTCTGAGGACCGGATCGACATGGCAGCTCCAGTGGGACCTGCCTAGCAGGGGTAGCTGCCCCCAAACCAGAAGAGCCGAGAAACCAAAGAACTAGGCAGACAGATCCCAATTGTCCACATGGGGTGATTTTGTGGGGGGAACTTATGGACGGAAGCGTCCACTTGGGTGGCTGCGGGACAGGCATCTCCCTGCCGTTCCCCCCAGGCCCAGGGTTGCTAGACCACAGGGAAAGGGGTCTTGCCTCAGGGAGTGTGTGGGAATTTGTTTAGGATGATGTCAAGGTGGTTTTGATCTAAGGGCAGGATTATCTTTGTACTCTGTTGCAAGAACAGTAAACTGGAAAATTGTAGCGGCATTGCTGGGACCGGGTTCATGAGAGGCCAGCGTGGTGGATTCGCGTCCACGGTGGTCAGGAAGGGGAGCGGGGAGCACCCTGCTTCCAAATGGGCTCTTGGACCTCCACGCCAACCCCACAGGCAGGAGGAGGCGGGGGGTGTGGGGTCCAGCAGGCCCCTGGCAGATGTCTGGACTGGGCCTCAGGGGCTCACAGCTGCCTTTGTACCTGGTGTACAGGTATGGCCCACAGGCCTGTGTGGGTGGGATGTCCCCTGCCAGCAACCCCGGGGGTGAGCAGAACCTGAGGTCCCTCCAGAGTTTCTCAGGCCTGTTCATGCCCTGTGCCCTCTGCCAGCCAAGCCTTCAGCCCTGGACTGGTACGTCACCCGAGAGACTCCTGCCCAGGAGTTGGGCAGATGCCCCCTGGGAGTGCCCCTCGCCCACACTTACCTCACGCCTGCTTCTGGTTTTGCAGGCACGGCTGCCACACGGTGATCGCCAGCAGGAGCCTACCCCGAGTGCTGATGGTGAGAGGGCCTCTCCCGTGGTTCCTTTTGCAGGTGGCTGTGGGGGTGCTGGGCCTGGGCCAGGGGGGTCCAGAGGCTGAGGGGATATTGGCACCAAAACCTTTGTTGGTTTTTTTGAGGCAGGAATCTCGCTCTGTCACCTAGGCTGGAGTGCAGTGGTGTAATCTTGGCTCACTGTAGCCTCCGCCACCCAGGTTCAAGCAGTTCTCCTGCCTCAGCCTCCTGAGTAGCTGGGAGTATAGGCATCGCCATGACGCCCAACTAAGTTTTGTATTTTTTTGTTAAAGATGGGGTTTCAGCCGGGCGCGATGGCTCACGCCTGTAATCCCAGCACTTTGGGAGGCCGAGGCGGGTGGATCACGAGGTCAAGAGATCGAGACCATCCTCGTCAACATGGTGAAACCCCGTCTCTACTAAAAGTACAAAAAATTAGCTGGGCATGGTGGCACGTGCCTGTAATCCCAGTTACTCAGGAGGCTGAGGCAGGAGAATTGCCTGAACCCAGGAGGCGGAGGTTGCGGTGAGCCGAGATCNTCAGGAGGCTGAGGCAGGAGAATTGCCTGAACCCAGGAGGCGGAGGTTGCGGTGAGCCGAGATCGCGCCATTGCACTCCAGCCTGGGTAACAAGAGCGAAACTCCGTCTCAAAGAAAAAAAAAGATGGGGTTTCACCATGTTGACCAGGCTGGTCTCGAACTCCTGACCTCAGGTGATCTGCCTGCCTCAGCCTCCCAAAGTGCTGGCATTACACCAAAACTTGCAGCTTTCCTAAATATGGAGCTTCAGTGTCAGTGGTCTCCCAGAGACGTCTTTGACTTAAAAAACATCTAGTTTGGATGAGTGTGGTGGCTCACACCTGTAATCCCAACACTTTCAGAGGCCGAGCTTGGAGGACCACTTGAGGCCAGGAGATCAAGACAAGCCGGTCAACATAAAGAGACCTCATCTCTACTAAAAACTGAAAAAAACAGCCAGGTGTGGTGGCACAAGCCTGCAGTCTCAGCTACTCTGGAGGCTGAAGCCAGAAGATCCCTGAACCTGGGAGGCTGAGCTGCGGTGAGCTGTGAGCACACCACTGCACTCCAGCCTGAGCAATAGAGCGAGACCCTGTCTTAAAAAAAAACAATATTTAACAGGTTGTGGACTTTTTTTTTTTGAGACAGAGTCTCGCTCTGTTGCTCAGGCTGGAGTGCAGGAATGCAGTGGCGTCATCTCGGCTCACTGCAACCTTTGCCTCCCGGGTTCAAGAGATTTTCCTGTCTCGGCCTCCCGAGTAGCTGGCATTACAGGTGCGCACCACCACGCCTGGCTAATTTTTTGTACTTTTAGTAGAGTTTCACCATGTTAGGCAGGATGGTCTCCATCTCCTGACCTTGTGATCCGCCTGCCTTGGCTTCCTAAAATGCTGATATTACAGGCGTGAGCCACCACACCCAGCCAACTATTTTTTTTAAATCTAGTTATTGGGTCCTGGAAGGGACCTTTCTGTTTGGAGTAACATGGCCCCAAGAAGGGTCTCTGGGCTTACGTGGGTTGTGAAGGTGGTTGGTGTATCCCACCCACCGGAGCCCTCAACCTGGAAGGAGAATCACCTGTGCGCCTCTGGTCTAGGACGGGTGGCAGGTGTGGGCAGAGTGGGGCAGGATCCTATAAACATCCCCCAGGGTGGTGGGCACTTGCAGGCCGTGGCTCCCCAGAGTGGGGGCCCAGCAGCAAACCCAGGGTCTCAGTGGAGCACGGATGTATCATCCTCTTTGGCTTCCAGAGGCGTTTTCTCCAGGCCAAGGCTGCAGGGCTGCTGACTGCCTCTTTGTCTGGCTTCTAGGCCGCCAGGAAGCTGGCTGCTGCCACTGGCCGGCGCTGCCTCCCCCTCTCTGTGGACGTCCGAGTGCCCTCGGCTGTCACGGCTGCTGTGGACCAGGCTCTGAAGGAGTTTGGCAAAATCGACATTCTCATTAACTGTGAGTCGGTGCTGAGTGAGGTGGGTGGCTTCTCACATGTCGGTGGTACCACTTGGAGGCCCCAGAACTCTGATCCTGGGGTGGGGACCGTGTCAGGGAACCTAGGCACCTGCCCTGGGGTGGGCTGCACCCCAGGTACGTGAGGCCAAGACGCAGGCTCTGGGCCTCTGTCTCCAGCCTTGCTCTGCTACTGCAGATGGCAGCAGGTCAGCGCAGCTGCAGCTCATGTGGATGCCGTGAACGTGGCTGAATGGCGGAGTCAGGTACCCTTGGGTCCTGAAATTCCCTTATTAAAAAAAAAGTAATAGTCTGTTTTTTTTCTGAGACAGGGTCTCGCTCTGTCACCCAGGCTGGAGTCATTATGGCTCACTGCAGCCTCCACCTTCTGGGCTCAAGCCATCCTCCGGCCCCAGCCTCCTGAGTAGCTGGGACTACAGGCGCACAGTACCACACCCAGATAATTTTTGTATGTTTAGTAGAGAGGGGGTTTTACCTTGTTGGCCAGGATGGTCTCGAATTCCTGACCTCAGGCAATCTGCCCGTCTCAGCCTCCCAAAGTGCTGGGGTTACGGGTGTGAGCCACCGTGCCTGGCCTGTATTTTTATTTTTTGCATAGACAGGGTCGTCCTGTGTTGCCCAGGCTGGTCGCAAACTCCTGGGCTCAAGCAGTCTTCCTGCTTTGGCCTCCAGAGTGCTGGGATTACAGGCAAGCATCACCAGTGAAATAAAAGCTAGCCTGGCCTAACTTTTATTTTTATTTTATTTTAATTAATTAACTAATTTGAGACAGAGTTTTGCTCTTGTTGCCCAGGCTGGAGTGCAATGGCGTGATCTTGGCTCACTGCAACCTCCGCCTCCTGGGTTCAAGGGGTTCTCCTGTCTCAGCTTCCTGAGTAGCTGCGATTACAGGCAAGTGCCACCATGCCTGGCTAATTTTTGTTTTTTTGGGTTTTTTGAGACAGAGTCTTACTCTGTCGCCCAGGCTGGAGTACAGTGGCGCGATCTTGGCTCACTGCAACCTCTGCCTCCTGGGTTCAAATGATTCTCATGCCTTAGCCTCACAAGTGGCTGGGACTATAGGTGCACGCCACCACGCCTGGCTAATTTTTTGTATGTACGTATGTATGTATGTATTTTCAGATGGAGTCTCTTTCTGTCGCCCAGGCTGGAGTGCAGTGGTGCAGTCTCGGCTGACTGCAACCTCCGCCTCCCGACTGGGACTACAGACGCATGCCACCAAACCCCGCTAATTTTTGTATTTTTAGTAGAGACACAGTTTCACTATGTTGGCCAGGCTGGTCTTAAACTCCTGATCTCATGATCCGCCTGCCTCGGCCTCCCAAAGTGCTGGGATTACAGGCGTGAGCCACCATGCCTGGCCTCTGGGCTTTTATTTTTTACTACAGTTTTAGGTTTATAGAATAATTGATAATACACGGAATTCCATACTCCCACCCACAGTTTTCCCTATTAACATCTTGCGTTTGTTACAATTGATGAAGCACTACTGGGTTCACTCTACAGAAATTCCCTTTTAAAAACACCCTGTGTATTAGTTTCCTGGGCTAACAGAGCACGACAAGCTATGTGGTCAAAACAATACCACCTCCAGTTCTGATGGTGCTGCGCCCTCTGAAGGCCCCAGCAGGACCCTGTTCCGTGCCTTCCCTGTGGCTTCAGGTGCGGCGGCAGTCCTAGGCCCTCTGCCACTGTCTTCACATGGGGTGTGTCTGTGTGTCCTCTTCTCTTGTTATAAGGATGTCAGTCATGGATTTAGGGCTCACCCTAATGAGTGACTTCAATGTAATTCAATTATATCGGCACCCACCGCATTTCCAAACAGGGCCACATACAGGTAGCAGGGGTCCCTGCTTCAGCATGTTTTCTTGGGAACCACGGTTCAGCCCATAATGTCCCATTTTGCTATCCTAGGGCATGGGTCTCCTCCCTGTGCCACAGGGCACCTGGGCTCCCTCCTGCACCCTTCCGTCGGGGCCACCGCCCACTCAGCGTCCCTCTCCCCGGGCTCCAGCAGCTCCTGAGGTCTCCCACTCTGCAGGTGCGGCTGGAAACTTCCTGTGCCCTGCTGGCGCCTTGTCTTTCAACGCCTTCAAGACCGTGTTGGACATAGACACCAGCGGCACCTTCAACGTGTCTCGCGTGCTCTATGAGAAGTTCCTCCGGGTGGGTGCCCCGTGAGAGGCTCCCCCGGGTGGGTGCCCCGTGAGAGGTTCCCCCGGGTGGGTGCCCCGTGAGAGGTTCCCCCGGGTGGGTGCCCCGTGAGACGCTCCTCCGGGTGGGTGCTCTGTGAGAAGCTCCCTGCCCCATGCCTTGTGTGTTGCAGGACCACGGAGGGGTGATTGTGAACATCACTGCCACCCTGGGACACCGGGGGCAGGTGCTCCAGGTGCATGCAGGCTCTGCCAAGGCTGCTGTGGGTATGACCCCCCTCCCTCGGGTCTGCCCATGTGGGCTCCCCCTGGGCCCTCTGCTTCCATCCCAGAAGGCCAGCAGTCTCCACGTGAAGCTTAGCTCAGCTGCAGGCAGCAAGGCCTGGCCTTGGCCCTGAGACCCCACAGAGGGGACAACGGCCCCTTCATATCCAACCTTCTCCCGTGCAGATGCAATGACGCGGCACTTGGCTGTGGAGTGGGGTCCCCAGAATATCCGTGTCAACAGCCTCGCCCCCGGCCCCATCAGTGGCACGGAGGGACTCCGGCGACTGGGTAAGGCTCTCAGCCCAGGCCTCCCACAGATCCTCCCCTGAGGCACAGGGTACCCATGGAAGCTTCCAGAACCTTGGCAGGGGGTGTGTTGAAAAGCCCTGTGCTGGTTCCATGGTGGTGGCTGTGGTCTGTGCCTGGCCAGATCCTGCTCCATGCTAGGCCTTGGTGACACTGACTGTGCCCCTGCTGTTCCCAGATGCCACTCAGAGAATGAGCTGGGGGAGAGGGAAGGGTGCTGGGTCTTGGGGCTGAGGGGGCCTGAGCCTTCTGCTGCCCTCCAGGTGGCCCCCAGGCCAGCCTGAGCGCCAGGGTCGCTGTGAGCCCGCTGCAGAGGCTGGGGAACAAGATGGAGATTGCCCACTGCGTGCTCTTCCTGGCCAGCCCTCTGGCCTCCTACGTGACGGGGGCCATGCTGGTGGCTGATGGCGGGGCGTGGTTGACATTCCCAAACGATGTGAAAGGGCTGGTGGATTTTGCATCCTTCTCTGCTAAGCTCTAGGTGAGGTGCCACTCCCACTTCTTGGGGTCACTTGTGTCCCTGGATGCTGGCTGCTGCATGGGCAGTTCTCTGCAGGACCCACGGGGGGGGTGTCTCCTCCCTCATCCTCCTGGCCCTTGTGCCAGCCTGGCCACATTGGGTGCTGCCCGGTGGGGCTGGGCAGAAGGCGGGCGCTAGTGTGCTTGGTCTTATGTAGTGGCCTCAGCCTCTGCTGGCATTTTTGGCAGGTGCTGGATGGCCAAGGCAGCTGAGGTGTTTTGAGGGGGAAGCCATCCTCAGCCGGCTCTAAGTTCTGTAACTCCTGCAGGATTCTTCTGGGCCCTGCGTCCCGCCGCCTTGCACAGCCAGGTGGAGTGCCAATCTGAACCAGCAGTGCCCACAGCCCAGCCCCTCCTCTGGACATCCAGCTGTTTCCACCATCTCCCTCTCTCCCCATGGCCCCACCTCCGGGGCAGGAGCAGCTGGACAGTGGGCCTCCCTGTGGAGCTGCCACGCAGGTGGTGAGGTTGCCGACGAGATGCTGGGAGGTCCCCTGCCCCCCGGTCAAGGCTGTCCTGCCTGCCTGGGTTCAGGGCCTGAGGGAGCCACGTGGATGGAGATGCTGGGAGGTCCCCTGCCCCGCGGTCAAGGCTGTCCTGCCTGCCTGGATTCAGGGCCTGAGGGAACCACGTGGATCCTGAACCTTGTGTTCTCTTCACTGAAAATGCTGAGGTGCTCCTGTCTGTGCCCAAGAGCTGGCACGGCCCTCAGGCTGCCCACAGGGTCCACCCCTCTGTTTCTGCACCACCAGTTTGCATAAATACACTTCCCTACAATCTTGCTAGAAAGTGCATTTTCTTTTCTTTTTTTTTTTTCCAAGACAGAGTTTCACTCTTGTTGCCCAGGCTGGAGTGCAATGGCAAAATTTCAGCTCACCACAACCTCCGCCTCCCCACTGGCTGGGATTTCAGGCCTGTGCCACCATGCCCGGCTAATTTTTGTATTTTTGGTAGAGACAGAGTTTCTCTATGTTGGTCAGCTGGTCTCGATCTCCTGACCTCAGGTGATCCGTCCATCTCGGCCTCCCAAAGTGCTTACAGGTGTGAGCCACTGCGCCCGGCTTTTTTTTTTTTTTTTGAGACATAGCGTCACCCAGGCTGGAGTGCAATGGCTTGATCTCAGCTCACTGCAAGCCCGCCTCCTGGGTTCAAGTGATTCTCCTCCCTCAGCTTCCCGAGTAGCTGGGATTACAGGCACACGCCAAGTCTATTTTCTTAAAAGATAATCTCTTTACTGTAAAAAGAAATTGGACCTTGCAAAAGCTTTTAGAAGCAAAAGAAAGACGATTAAAAGGAACCGTGGTGATCCTGTCGTTTAGGGGCAGTGTTTCCTTCCTGTCTTTTCTGTGAAGCTTGGGACACTCTCCCTGCCTGGTGCTGGAAGCCTAGTCTACAGGCAAGTCCTGCTCCCCTGGCAGAGGTCATGTGCTCGGATGCAGCCGAGAGTGAATGCTGGTTCCAGGACCAGCCAGGCAACAGCTCACACTGCCACAGCTTTCCTCCTCTCTCAACATGGCCCCCAGCCCTGCTGCACATGGGAGGGGCTGAGCAGCAGGGGCTGGAGGGAGGTGTGTGGCTTTGCCCACCAGGGCCCCCGTGGCTGCCCCCGCAGGAGGGGAGCAGCTTCTATCAGGGATGCCCCTCAGCCCCGTGGTTCCCACTCTGTTCCTCCAAGCTCCCAGCTCACCGTCACACCAGACCTGAATGTGTTCAGGCTTTACTTCCTGACAAGGAGGAGAAAAGATTTGTTTGTTTTTTGTCAGAGACAGGATCTGGCTGTGTCACCCATGCTGGAGTGCAGTGGCACAAACATAGCTCACTGTATCCCCCAAACTCCTGGGCTCAGGCGATCCGCCCATGTCAGCCTCCTGAGGACCAGGGACCACAGGCATACATTGCTGTGCCCAGCTGTATTTTTTGTATTTTGCATTTTGTACATTTTGTATTTTTTTGTATTTTATACATTTTGTATTATTTCTAGAAGAGGTCTTGCCATGTTACCCAGGCTGGTCTTGAACTCCTGGGCTCAAGCCATCTGCCCCCCTCAGCCTCCCAAAGGCTGATGTTGCCACAACCCACACACACCTTGTGTGCTAAATTGACTTTCTTCACAGAATTGAAAAAAAACACCTTAAACTTCATAGGGAACCAAAAAAGAGTCCGCATAGCCGAGACAATCCTAAGCAAAAATAAACCAAAGCTGGAGGCATCACGCTACCTGACTTTAAACTACATTACAAGGCTACAGTAATCAAAACAGCATGGTACTGGTACCAAAACAGATATAGACCAATGGAACAGAACAGAGGCCTCAGAAATAACACCACACATCACACAATTGCAACATCTGATTTTGACAAACCTGACGAGCAGTTGGGAAAGGATTCCCTGTTTAATAAATGGCGTTGGGAAAACTAGCTAGCCATATGCAGAAAGCTGAAACTGGATCCCTTCCTTACACCTTACACAAAAATTAACTCCAGATGGATTAAAGATTTAAACATAAGACTTAACACCATAAAAACCCTAGAAGAAAACCTAGGCAATACCATTCAGGACATAGGCACGGGCAGGGCCTTCATGACCAAAACACCAAAAGCAATGGCAACAAAAGCCAAAATAGACAAATGGGACTCAGTCTAAATAAATAAATAAATACATAAACAAAGGCCGGGTGTGGTGGCTCACACCTGTAATCCCAGCATTTTGGGAGGCCCAGGCGGGTAGATCACCTGAGGTCAGGAGTATTAGACCAGCCTGGCCAACATGGTGAAACCCTGTCTCTACTAAAAATAACAAAAATTAGCTGGGCATGGTGGCAGGCGCCTGTAATCCCAGCGACTCGGGAGGGAGGCTGAGGCAGGAGAGTCGCTTGAACCCAGGAGGCGGACCTTGCAGTGAGCCAAGATTGCTCCATTGCACTCCAGCCTGGGCAACAAGAGTGAAACTCCATCTCAAAATAAATAAATGAAATGAGTAACAAAAAGTCGCTGAGGGTTAGCCTCGCCTTATGAATGTGGCCACTCCAACAGCCGCCATGGGCTGGGAGAGGGGCTTCTAGAAAATGTGTCAGCCCAGCTGACCATCTTGGGTTCCTGGCTGGCACTGACCAGTGTTGCCATGGCAGCATACACCCTGTGTACTAAGTTCTCAGTGAGCTCCTTCCAGTAACTGCATGGGTCTCAGGGGCCCTCTCTGGTGCCAGGAAACCTGGAAAGCCTCAGAGGCAGCCGGGCGGTGCCAGACCACACCTGACAGGTGTCTGTGCCAGCAAGAATGAGACATATTTGCCAGAAATGAGAATTACCTTTCAGTTCTTCGACCATCACGTGTAACTTGGAACATTTTTACATGGGAGAGAGTAGAGTGATGAGAACCAGACCTTCGCTGCTGCTTTGGAAAATGCAGAAAGCTGTGCACACCTCTCCTGCTGGCTCCTCGGGGCCCCTCCGAAGCCTGTGGTTTTGGCCTCAGAGAGGTGTCAGGGTTGCAGGAGCAGGGCTCTGGAGAGCTCCAGGCCTGGCGGGGGCTAGGTCATCCCAGGAAGACGGAGCAGGCACCAGTTAGCTTCATCGAGAGGCATTAAAAGAAGAAAATCATCAAAAGTCAGGCTGAGTCAGGAGGAATTCAGTTGTGGCTTACAAACTCATGTTCTGTTTTTACTGTAAGAAACGCACTTTACTAAATTTGAAGGTGAGAATAAAAATTCTTCCTACTGAATAAAATATCAGTAAACAGAGGTGAGGCTCTGCACTCTCAACTGCTGGAGGCTATGAGGGGTAGCTTTACCTGGTCCTAAAAGTGACTTTGCTCTAAGTTTACTTACTAAATACAAAATGTTAATTTAGTTTTCAAAGTCATCAGGCTGGGTGCGGTGGCTCATGGCTGTAATCCCAGAACTTTCAGAGGCCAAGGCAGGTGGATCACTGGAGGTCAGGAGTTTGAGTCCAGCCTGGGCAACATGGTGAAACCCCGTCTCTACTAAAAATACAAAAATTAGCCAGGTGTGGTGGCGGGCACCTGTAATCCCAGCTACTCAGGAGGCTGAGGCAGAATAGCTTGAACCTGGGAGGCGGAGGCTGCAGTGAGCCAAGATCACACCGTTTCACTCCAGCCTGGGTGACAGAGCAAGACTCCTGAGAAAAAAAAAGTTGTCGATTAAAAAATAGTTTGCAGGCAATTTTCTTTTCTTTTCTTCTTTTTTTTTTTTTTTTTTTTTATTAAAGACAGGGTTTCACCATGTTGGTCAGGCTGGTCTTGAACTCCCGACCTCAGGTGATCCACCCACCTTGGCCTCCAAAGTGCTTGGATTACAGGCGTGAGCCACCACGCCCAGCCTGGCAATTTTCGTTGACAGCTTTATGGATGCATAGTTGACACAAGGCAAACTACACGTATGTACAGTGTGTAGTCTGATGAGGTCTTACGTATCTACGCCGTGAAGGAATCAGCACCATCCAGGTTGCAGGTGCACCTGGTAATCCCTCCCTCTCAACTGTCCCTACCCTTTATTTCCCAAGCGACTGCTAATTTGCTCTCTGTTGCTATTTTGTTTTTTATTTTTATTCGTATTTTTACGTTTTGAGACAGAGTCTCTCTGTTGCCTAGGCTGGAGTGCAGTGGTGCTATCTCGGCTCACTGCAATCTCTGCCTTCTGGGTTCAAGCAATTCTCCTGCTTCAGCCTCCCAAGTAGCTGGGATTACATGTGGCCACCATCATGCCTGGCTAACTTTTGTATTTTTAGTAGAGATGGGGTTTGCCACGTTGGCTAGGCTGGTCTCGAACTCCAGACCTCAAGTGATTCACCCGCCTCAGCCTCCCAAAGTGATGGGATTACAGGCGTGAGCCACCACACCTGGGCTAGAAGAGACAGTCTTTCTCCAACATGTGAGGACAGAGTGAGAAGACGGCTGCTTTGGTTTGAACATTTATACCCTCCAAAACTCCAAAACATGTGCCCAGGCATGGTGATTCATGCCTATAATCCCAGCACTTTGGGAGGCCGGGGTGGGCAGATCACTTGAGGTCAGGAGATTGATACTATCCTGGCCAATTTGGTGAAACCTCACCTCTACTAAAAATACAAAAATTAGCTGGGCGTGGTGGCAGGCGCCAGTAGGCCTAGCTACTTGGGAGGCTGAGGCAGGAGAATTGCTGGAACCGGGGAGTCGGAGGTTGTGGTAAGCCAAGATCATGCCACTGCCCTCCGGCCTGGTGACAGAGTGAGACTCTGTCTCAAAACAAAAGAAAGCCATCCTTCTGCTTCTGGCAACACCGGCACATTAAAAGCAGAGGAAGCCTGCTGTGTTGGCCTCGCCCACACTAACACCCCCATTTATAAAGGTTGACACATCACTGACTGCTTCTGAAAATTTTATCTGGCCAAAGACATCAGCCCAAATTTGAATTCTTGCCCAAACTGGAGGTGATTTCATTCTTTGACTGCAGTCTCTTCCTCATGAACACATACAGCTCTTTTTTTTTTTTTTTTTTTTTTTTT